AAAAAAAAAAAAAAAAAAAATTGCTTTAATTTTTGTTCGCATATTTCAATTTTATTCATTTTGTAAAATCCATATATCTACATGTATATTTATACAATTAATGACAAAAAATATATAACATTTTTTTCTCCCTTTTTTGTTATATGTTGCATTAATAAAGTAATTATACATTTATTTATTTTATTACATAACTACTACTACTAACTAATCATAAAGTCATATTAAATTGTATTATATTCTAAAGTTTTTGTTTCTCAAATTATTCATTTGAAATGCTGTTTTTTTAGCTCATAAGCAAGTTTTTTTTATTAAAATTAGTACACAGAAACTAACATCAACAACTTCAAATACTGAAAAATTTGTATGTCAGTCTGTGTGAGCATTTTCTTTATTGCTCTATTGTAGGTGTATAGAGAGTTAGAAACATGATACATATTGGAGCATGTGGGCGTGACATCATTGACGTAATTGATGTTACTGCTTTGATGATTAACTTCTGAATGTGTTGGGACGAATATCGATGTCGAGGATTCGGGGAGCAGAATGGTTGTTCCCCTCACGGTGCACGCGACAAAGAAACACGGTGATGGAGATGCGTGCGGCAGAGCGGACCATTCTGAGACAATTAACCCGAATATCGGGCACATGCTTTCAAGTGTATGATTCTTTTTAAACTGGTGGACAATTCTTATACCACATTCATCTGCTAAATTTTCACTTTCAATTATGAACAACTCCAGCAACTGCTGGTGAAATTTAAATGAGTAATATAGTTCAAAAGATATTTGATCATGTTAAATTCATGCTCTCTGAACTGCATCACTTAATTGTTATAGTTCTTAGACATGATAATAGGCATTTAGGCACTTAATTGTTAGAAGTTGGAATTGTTGACGACTCTTTTTCTGGTTGAGCTTGAACAAGAGAAAGGACGATCAACAGTCTCGACTTTCAAGAATTAAGTGTCTAAACGCTGATTATTATGTCTAAGAACTATAACAATTAAGTGGATGCAATTCAGAGAGCATGAATTTAACATGGTCAGATATCTTTTGAACTATACTTCTCATTTACATTTCACCTGCAGTTGCTGGAGTTGTTCATAATTGAAAACGAAAAATTAGCAGATGAAAGGGGGGTAACAAATGTCCACCATTTAACATATAAAATATCAAATTAATCATCTTTTAGAGTTTTGATTTGACAGTCATATTGTATATTAACCTTCGCAACGCGGCAAAATTAAAATTTATATTTTCATTAACCGACTTCTACCAACTAGTAGTAGTAGTGCGCAAGGGTCGAACCCACAGGGAGTGCGAATCAAATTGTGAATTTTCTCATATTAATTGAATTTATAAAAAAAAAACGTTAAAAGGGGGGGATTGGATTAACTAAGATCCTAATTAAATAAATAAAATAAAAAAAAAAAAGAATAAAGACAATAAGCGAAAGTTCTAGTTCACGGTTCCGTCTACACCCTCGACTGACTCGTCTAATCAACTTTGGTATCAAATCTCGCTATTTTATGAAATTACTAGCCTTAGGTAACGACACAGTCTGTTACCCGAATTTTTCCTTATTTTTAATCTAACCGCGAGACGCTCTACGATTAGACCTGACTTCTTGTACAGTCTAGAAAATGCTTCTTAGATTTAATACAATCAGCCGCTTTACGAATTAGAAAAATAGGCTAGACTAAGCAGTGAACTCAACTGCGTTCGTTCACTTAAATAGGTCGTGTTATCCCCGGTAGTTACCATCTTCCGGATACCACTTACGAATTAAACACATCAACAATTACGGATTGAAGGCCTAATTCAGGTGTAGATATGTAAAGCCTAATCTAGGTGATCAATCTAAATAAGACTCAACTCATCATGATTAATTATTCAAAATAATACAAACAATTCCAAAAAGATAACTCAATAATCAACTAAGAAATTCAATCAAACATCGTCAAGTCGTAGGGTTCGACATCCCCGGAACTAAAATAAAAATCTACTCTAACATAATAAATAATAAAATAAAAATAAAAGAAAGAGAATAGAATTATCCTCTTTCATGTGCGGGTGCGGCCTCCCTCCGCGATTGATCAGGTTCTCGTGTCTTTTTCCTGCTCTCTCCTCTGTTCGTGTCTCTGTCTTTTTCCGTGTATGTGTGGCGGCTGCTGTGTTGCGTGAATAGGGTGTAAAAAAAGATTTTTTTTTCTCCTCTCAATCTTAATTAGTGGCTGGCCTCAAAATAATTCTTCTCCAGGCTGCATGTTGGGTCACTCAATTAAACTCCAACTGGGCCCACTTCAAAATCCTCTCAAATTCATGTTAAAAGTGGCGTGAATGGGCAGCCCAATTGATGAGTCATTCATGTCACTTCTTGTTTGATTTTTTAACAATTAGGCTCAAACTTTTGTCGGTATGCGACAGTAATTGATTGTACAATGCTTCGTGTCCAGAAAATACTCCAATGAACTAAAAATAAATATAAAATAATCAAAGCAAATGAATCCATCTAAATAATAAATAAGTCGAAAAATATATAAGTGCGATAAAATTAAGCATATAAAAATACGCTAATAAGTATATAAAGTACACACTTTTTTCGACCAATCAATTCTCCCCAAATTTAAACTGTTGCTTGTCCCCAAGCAACTTAGAACTATAAGCACATAGATGGACAAGAAAACAAGTACGTGGAATATTACTCAGGGCCTCACAATTCTCACATAAGTGTATAGATCAAACGACTCAAATTAATTAATTCGGACTCAAGATGAAATTATTCTAGGAACTCAAACACATCAAGTATCAATCCAAGTGACCACCATAGTTTATCAATCTCTACAGCAAATGCACCGATCAATGCAACTCATGACACCCCTCTCTTTGCTAACAAGTCTAGTTTCCTTCCGTTTCTAGCCGAAGTCTAAATCTCTCATTCTCCAACTCTTTTTTTTCTTTCTCTTTGTTTTTCTTATTCTCTCTTTTTTTTCTGAGTAGGGAACGGCAGCTATTGTCTCGATACAAGAATTATTGGATTTATACACTAGAGCCCCCACGGATTGGCAGTTGTTGCAGCCCAAGACTCTTTTTTTTTTATTAGTATTATTATTTTTTATTTTTTTTGCAAAAGGCTTTTCAACACCACCAATTATTCCTCCATCCACTTTATTCTTTTTTTCCGACTATAAGACATAGAAACCCCAACTTTCTGTTGGTGTTATATACTTAAGCTTTGCTTTAGTGGATATTACACTTGTTAT